ATATATATATAAAAACAGGATGTATCCGGTTACCTTTTTGGAGGTGTACTTCTGCTTGGGCACTACACTGCGAAGCGTGTGGTCCAGCGGCTCCCTGTTGTCCAGGTTCTTGACCTTGTAGATCCTCACCAGCCAGTGCTCCGAGGTGAACGCCTCCTCCAGGTGCTTGAACTTGATGTCCTTGTTGCCGATCTCGGCGTTGCGAGTCCGGTCGAAGCCAGGAGGCGTCCGGAAGTCCAGCTGGGAGACGGATAAGGTTGTCTCGGTTAAAATGTTGCATGTAGACGTTTGTTTGGAGAGTTTCTCCTCATCCAAAGCGAGGGTCAAAGAAAATGTGTAATCTGTGATATTGGGCTGTGTAGATGAAATTGACTTGACTTGCAAAAAGGCTTTTTTGGTTGAAAAATAGTTTATCAATCTCCCAAAAGATCAGAGTTACATGAAAGGACTTAGAATTTAGAGACAAGGACACAAAATGTAAAAAGTTCGATAGCTCTTTGATTACAGTGCAGCATCTGTCCTTTGGCAACTATGTATGAACCAATCTCTCGTTCCCCTTATTCGACTGGAGAAGCCTTCATTGTGTCCTTCCCACATTTGATTTTGCCCTCATCCCTTCTATTCTCAAAGCTCCACTCTGTTGGATCTGACTATATGGCTTCGACATGTGCTGTGGAACAAAGAGAGAGTCAGGCCTTGCCTTTTGCAAGCAAAGGTTTCATCCTGATTGTAGTTTGATGAGCACCAAACCCCCCCCAACTTTGAAGAATTCACCAAACTGTCTATTTTATCTTTGTTCGTATCCACGAAGCGAACTCTTTTTAGTCCTGCTGAAGTGAAGAAGCAAGACTTCTTCAGACAGACAGACAGACAGACAGACAGACAGACAGACAGACAGACAGACAGACAGACAGACAGACAGACAGACAGACAGACAGACAGAGAGAGATTCCACTCTCCACCAAGCGCCTCGTTTGCTCTGGTCATAAGGACGCGAAAATCCCTTATCCAGACGACAGCAATTCTCTCCTCCCGAGAGAACACCTCCCGCGGCCCTCAGCCGCGCTGCCTGGGCCCAACGAAGCTCAGAAGAACCCCCCTCAATCACCACGATTGCATCGTCTGAGAGAGCACTCTTCCGTACTCCCGCACGGAGCGAAGGATCTTAATCTTTTGTTTTATTTCATTTTGTTTTGTTCCTTTCCCTTCTCTTTTACTAATCCACACACACACACACACACACACACACACACACACACACCACACGTACACATACACTCCCCCTCTTTTCGATCGTCTGTTGATTTTAGATAGCGTGCTCATGAATGTATAGTTGTTGTTAGTTTAGATATTAGTTGACTAGATCATTAGTATTAGAACGTAATAAACTCTGTTATATTTTAAAGAGCAGCTGTCTGTGATTACTTTGTGCATGTGTATTGTGATGATAGCTGTATATGTGGTCTGTGCTCGAACTTAAACCTTCACTTTCACTCTGAATGTGTAATAGTACTCAGACTGTTGACATTGTGAGTGAACACTAATTATGAGACTTAGTTTATCATTTGGTTATTGGTCCCTGTTCGCAGGTTGGTGCCCCGTTATTATTAATAATCATTAATAATTGTTACTGACATTAATAATTCTATTGATGTCAAGAATTTACTTTCTTAGATGCTGATAACCCAAACACGCTCCTTTACGTTCCCAACATATTGCTGATAACCCATGTCAGGCTATGTTATTCCCAACATATTGCTGATAACCCATGTCAGGCTATGTTATTCCCAACATATTGCTGATAACCCATGTCAGGCTATGTTATTCCCAACATATTGGTGCCCCCCTTTTTGAGGCTTTTTGTTATTCCCAACAACTCCCTACTTTACCTCTCCAGACTGCGTTCTCACTCTCTCTTTATGTTCCACGGTCTCATCTCCTGTACGCCTTCAGGCTGCTTCAGCGGCCACAGCGTGAGGCATGTTAAAACCATTAGTCACAATAGTTAGTCCGTCGCCGTGCATTCACTAGCGCTGTTCAACTTGTCATTTAAATGTCAAGAAAAAAGAAAAGATAAACAAGTTGTTTTTTGGAGAGATATTCTTTCTATTCTGTATTATGCATCATCAGCATTATCCATTAATCTCCACTCGCCACTACAAACTGTATCCTCAGCCATCTCCTTATAGTTTTCTTCCTGATGTAATGTAAGCCTGTTTCCCCTGGTCACATCCTGTTTTCGTAAACCTAATCTACCCTCCCTACTCTCTCTTCCCTCCCTCCGTCCCTCCATCTTTTTCTCCTCGAAACAGCGCTGTGAGCCACACACAGCTTCGGCTGAGTCAGTCTACGCATGGCGGCTGCATTGATTCTCCCGTCTCTGCCCAGCTGTTGGCCGGGCTACAGCGGGGATGTAAGCACCTGGCAAAAAGGATCTCTCTCATCTCTCCTCAGCTACCTGCCAGAAGTAGCCCTGGAACATTTGAAAGATTCCGGCAATCCCTCATATTCCTCCTCCAGACTTCATACCCCCCCCAACCTCCTCCCCGATCCTCAGGAGCTCCCCAAGGCATCTCCTTAAATCCTCTTCCGCCTGTCTGTCAGCCAACTCTGCTTTTAAGATACAGTAGCAAGAAGACTTACCTTTGGTGGCGACGGCTGCTTGTTATTCTCTGGCAAAGCTGCAGAAAATACAGTAATAGTACTTTTTCTTTTACTTCTTCGGTGATGGCAGCTGCTTGTTACTTTCTGATCTTTGCCCAAAGCTTGAACTCATTATTTAGTTTCCCGGTAGCCTTGACCTGACCTGGAGAAAATGACTAAAGACCTGCACAGTTGTAGAGTTTTTTTCCTTAGTTCCTTAGCCAGAGAGCGAAAGAGTCTTTGATTAGAAATCTCTCCTCACCTGCATTTCACCAAATCGGTAGTAGGACATCTTGTACATAAGGCAGTTGAGGAGAGTCGGTGAACCGGCCTTATCCACTCTGAACTCTCCCTGAGGGGTGAAGTAGTCGCTCTCCTAAAGAAGACAAGGATCAAGTTATGAGAGGATGAGGTCCAGACGAGTTGATGGTGAAGTCATTTAGCAGAACTCGCTGACTGGAGATAACGATAGAGGTGGATACTAATTGAGGAGGCTCACATAGGGCATGGTGGATACAAACTATTTATTAAATCACTTATATTAATAAAAACTTCTGTGCTCACAAAAACATAAAGAATAGTTTGTAAACTATTGTCCCACACTAGTTCAAAAATCACTTATTTTACAATTTCAAATGTTAAACAACAGCATGTAAAACAAACTAGATATACAGTCTTATTACTCTTTAGGAGGTGCTGTTAGGCAGATTTTGTTGAATTCTGACAGAACCAGGCTAACCGTTTCTAATTGTTTCCAGTATTTATGCTAAGAGAACCATTTGCTAACTGTAGCTCCATATTTGCCCCACAGCCATTAGAGTTAAATCAATCTTCTCATCTCTCGTCAAGAAAGCGAATAAGTGTTTTCCTCAAACTGTTACACAACTACTTGAACTGTTGCTTTAAGTGCCCTGGCTACAGTCGAAGATTTCTTAAACGTCACGCAATCGAGTAGCCGGTTCTGTAATCAGGGTTGTGGATTAGATAAACGTGGCTTCCTTGGTTCGATTTCTCCTGGAGAACACAGATTTGGTGGCCGTGGCCGTGTATCGTGTATAAGGGTAAGCTGGTCTAGATCGGCTTTTTACTTCTTTGTGCATGAGAAAGACTTCAGGAGTCCGGCTAACACCTCAGCTACAGATGACAGTAGGGAGAACTGACAGATGTCTACGCTAATGTCAAGAACATTAGCGTAGATTTTGACAAATGAAAATAGTTTGGAGGTGGAGCAAGTGCGCAAAACTTTGCGTAAATGGAGCCGGGGCGAGCTGCGTTTAAATCAAGCAACATGTCGTTTAGCCTGTTCGCTGACGCACGGAGCAAGTTAGGATATCTTCATTGTGAAAAACACACAATCCGATGTTGGCTCGTTCACATTGATTTCACAGCTGTGTGAGTGCATACAACAAGAGAAAAGCTGCAGTGACGGGCAGGTCTCACACTCACCCTGATGTCCTTTGGGTGCTCTCCCTCCGCGATCCTCACCATCCACAGGAACTTGTTTATATCGTCTCCTGAGTAGCCGATCACTCCTCCGAAGATAATCAGCACGTAGTCCACATCCAACGACCTCATGATTGTGTAGGCTGCGCTCTCGTTGGAAGACATAGCTTTCCCCACCTAGAAACATCCGTGCAGAACGACAAGTTTCATTTGTTGTTTCTTCGGTTTCACAAGACACGATGCTTCAAACACAGCAATGGCAACAGGAATTATTAAACAGAGATCCATCTTGCATCTTCTGTAATTACATTTCCTGTGGACGGATGCTGAAGTGACAACAGGCAGCAGGTAGAAAGCAAGAGAGAAGAAAGCTAGGGGGCTTTTAACTAAAAGACAAAACAACATTTGCGTACATTTGGCAGCCGAAATGAGAAAAAAAACATAAATCAAACCCACAGAATCTGACAGCAATTAACTGAAATCCCCCTACAGTGTAAATGCAATGGGAAAAGTTTAAGCAAACAAGATTATCTGGCTTGTTGGAAGGAGCGGTTTTATACTATGTGGCAGTTATGTATAAAATGCACTGACGAGCTCGCTATTCATAGAAGACATCTTGTATGAGGCATGTGCAAGGATCAAAACAGGAAGAGAGCGATGGAGATGAAGGCTAAAACAGACTCACCAGCGCTATGTGACTGTTGTTCCATGTGTTGTTATCGACTAGCGTGGTCCTGTTGGCCATGCCGGCTATCTGGTAACCGTAGTCCCACCACGACATGACGCGGGCGTGCTCGCCTGTATTCTGCCTCAGCCAGTAGTAGGCCTCCCTGAAGTCATCCAGGATGTTGCGCGTCCTAACAAGGAAAACACGGTTGACAGGTAACAGTGTTGACAGGCGTATGGCTGCGGAGGCTAATAATATTTCTGTTAAGACTTTGAATCAGAAGGGCAACAACAGCTGAAAATAGAGCATCCGTACATAATAAACTCGGGGGGGGGGGGGGTTAAAAACATACGCTCATGTCCTAAATTTACCTTGAGGAGGACCTAAAAGCAAGCAACCAATTAGTTGTAGGGAAGGTAATGATATGTATGTGTGTGAGCATGCCATGCGTGGGCGGATATGTGCGAGAAGAAAGAGCAGAGTGACAGCTATGCTGCTCCCAGCAGCACAGCTAAAACCATTGTCTGAGAGATGCCGTGGTCCCATTAATACATGCATGAAGACTTGCATCAACCATTTAGTCTTGGCCTTCAATATTTCCTCCCTAATGCTTAAGGAGAATAATTATGCCTGTAAAGAATCTCAAGAGAGAATAATATATCCACTTTTTTTTGTAAATTCAGAGACGGACGGCTTCTGTCGCGACAATAAGTTAAGCAATCGCATTAAAGCTCACAGGTGCACATATCAATATTCCACAAACCTCTGATGAAATATTCATGCGCTCCCTCGATCCTGCACACATGCACGTGTTCATTTGCATGCAAGGTTGAGCAATCACTTCTTCTGCGTTATGAAATATTACTTGAAAATTTGGCTCCTCGCCGTCTAACGTCCGCTTCCACATTACAACCGCAGTCAGTGTGTGTGTGTGTGTGTGTGTGTGTGTGTGTGTGTGTGTGTGTGTGTG